TTGGGCGCGATAATTTAATCCATTGTGGAAACTAATTATTTCAACGTCAATCTTTAAAACATTAAGAAAGTAACACGTGACCGCATCAGTATTCAATACCAACCTCAACTTCAATTCCGAATAACAAACCTAATGAAGATTGAATATACGTTTATTGCTTTCATTGAATTCAGGATTGCCAAATGCATTACCAATTGATAGGCTTAATAAAAAAAAAATATATGACTAAAAATTAATTTCGATGATCTAGGCCTAATCAAAGAAGGAATAATCCAAACGAACGTGATAATGAAAATATAACATAATATTACAATTTCATATTGAACACAAAATAACAGGGAGAGGAAAAAAACACTCAATTGGCCATTTAAATCCACCTGTTCATTAAATTGTACATTTTACAGCCATTGCAATAGACTATAATTCCATCAACATTGGAGTCATAAAAGTTGTAAATGAAATTACTGGAAACAATTTCTTCAAATCACCACATTTTGGCCTCCATATTAAACGTTCTTCGACTGAAGCAATCTGTTGTTTTTTCAGAATTTTATCAAACATACTGTAGCTTATTCATAGAGTTGCAAGGTTTTGCTTTAATGTTTACTTATTGCTCACGTCACATTCTCACTACCATCTCTCATCTAGTCTTATCTTTCATAGCCTCTTTTCCATTCTTCTTGCCAGCATCTACTTCTTAGGCTCGCTATCTGGATCCTACCTTCATGACTCACTCTAACTATATTAGAGTGTTGACTGAACCAATAGTTATTATTTCTGGCTGTTGTTACATTTTTAGATTTTGATTATCAATGTTGTATCCCAACCGAAGTCCATTTCCAGTCAACGTTTCCTACAGCCTAGTTGTTTTTCAGTATTTTTTTTTGCCTTTTTGAATATATATATAGTTCTTCTATTAACTTTGATTATCTAAATCTTTTAATAGGTAATAGGCCTGTGGCTATAGGAATAGTACCGTATATAAGGGATTAGGTAATAAAATGGAAAGCATGATCGATTAAACTGGACAGTAATAACCATAGGTTAATCCAGGATACACTTGAGCAGCTGAGCACCTATTCAAAAAAAAAATCTTTAAATTCCACCATTTCTATGAAGAAAAAAATAAGGCTTGAGATAAGTGAATTCCAGTAAAGATGACGTTATTGCCCAGAAATTAAAGTTGAAGTAGGCTGTAGTCGTGGCGGTGCGCCAAAGACGCAATACACTAGAGTACGCTTTAATATCAATCAGGCGCGTAGAGATTAGGTAAGGTGTCCAAAGCCTGGTTCACGTCGAAGTGAAGTCACTTAACTAATTCTTGAAATATGATACGATATTCCCTAGTTGCGTTTGATGCCAAGTTAGAGCCAGATAAACATCCAGCTAGCTTCGAGGCCGTCGACGTCACACGGTGGAAAGGCTTGTTTAATAAATCGTCTACTGTATTTTACCATTTTACGAACCTCTAGTACCAAGGGGTATTCGTAAAAAAAAAACACCCCCAAAAAAACTGACAAATTCGTAAACTGCTGTTGACCAGGTGTCAGTTTCCACTACCTAGTCTAACTGAACAGTACGAACCAACCGACAGTGCAGCAGCGTGGTCTATCGCAATCTAGTAGTAGAAAGTAGGCCCTAGCTAAATTTATCTTCGATAAAAAAACAAATTATTTTAATCGCTAGCATTCTCTCATTTAGTAAAATATTGTTTTAATTCTCATTAAAACGTCTGTATAATTTATGGACCTTTCTGTCGTGTTTTTTTTTTTTTAATGTAGTTTTTAGATCGATCAACTGTGTTGTTTACATGCACTTAGCGAAAATCTAGATTCGTTGTGTCAAATAAGTTGCTGACTTCAGCACTCTTTTTTATTTCGTCATCGTAAACATGTGCGCTCATTTTAACGACTGGCGTTGGTGGTAGTTAAAACTGAAATAACAGTGAATATTATAGCGGAAATGGAAAAGATTGAATTGTCAATAAATAAATAAATAAATAAATAAATCAGATTTTATTATTAAGAATAATATACATTATCACTTTGGAAAACGTACGCAATCGTTTTGACGTTATTACGTGGTCGATGATGCAAAGGGCAAACGTCATTTGCAATATTGACTATTCGTAAAACTAACGTTTGCTGGGTTTTTACCCATAATATTACAAATAATTTCTGAGGATGATAATAATGGTGGTACAACACAACAACGCTGGCTTATATGCCTACGTTACGTAATCATGTCCTTGTAATCCGAGCCGACTTTACCGTTAAGCAAGTTAATTTACCGTTATTCTTTAAGCCTTTATCTAGCTATAATCGACTGGTTCACGTCGAACTTTTAACTAGTTAAGTGGATCTATATCTAGATAAAAGTTCGACGTTAACCAGGCTTAACACACTCAAGCCGAAGGATTATGTAGGATTACAAGGGTGCAGATAATCTTTAGGACATGGGGTCGATTCATTACGGGTTTCACAAATATGCTAAAAAATCTCAACATTTGTAGACTCACGACTATTCTATTCCGTTTTAACACACAGTTTTATACTACGAGTGAATATTGTTATTATGATTTCGATTATTACGATGATGATGATTATTGTTGTTGTTGATATTATTATTATTATTATTTATTATTATTATTATTATTATTATTATTATTATTATTAGTAGTAGTAGTAGTAGTAGTAGTAGTAGTAGTAGTAGTAGTAGTACTAGTAGTAGTAGTAGTAGCAGTAGCAGCAGTAGTAGTAGTGCAGAGCATACGGATGATGCCTCTTATAGTATGACGAAAGAGTGTGAAAATTAAAAATAATTCCTAATTAAAGAGTACAGCATCCAAAACTTGAAAGAACGTACAATATACAATATTTTTTTTGTAATAGGGCTGAGGTTTGTTTAAACAACTTTATGCCCGATCAATTATTAAATGCTTCCACCACCGTCCCACAGTGCAGCACAAGTTACTAACATATCATCCCTCATCCGTGGAAATGAAATAAAAACAGAAGAAACCATAGCATTCGCTAAGTTCTCCGAAGTTGTATTGGCAACAGACCATCATCAATTAGAAAAGCTAAACAGAGGCATTTGACAACAATTTAAAACGAGGATGTTTTTTTTTCGATTGAAGTTTTAATGTTTGCTTTCTGTCATCGTATGTCGGTCGAGTTCATTATATAATTACTTAAAATTAAAAGAACAATGTTAGGAGTTGATAGTACACAGTTGACTGTTTGAAAACAGAGGATTCGCTATTTTACTACTGTTTAAAGACAGTAAAGTTATGTGCAGGTGTTCCATGACTATGACAATCTAATGTATAGTAGGCATATTTATATATTCCGGGTTCAATGAACTCAATAAGTGACGTAATCGGAAATACCAACCACAGAAATCGATATACGGAAAGTTATTGATTGCAATTGAATAATACCAATGAATAATAATAGTAGTAATAATATTAATAATAATAATAATAATAATTACTATTATTATTAGAATGCGTCACAATCCTGCAGCTATTAAACTGCCCACGCATACGTACCGTGCAGTACGGGTAGTTTGCTTGGCGGCACTGATTATATTTAAACGTATTCAGTTAAATAAATCACGTAAGTGTTAATTTTTGTAAAGAACTTCGTGCATCAGAATTCGGTTTCAATGGTAATGAATTCATTAACACTGCTGTAATAATTTCTTTTTTTAATGAGAACATAATAAGAAATTGCAAACCACAGGAAGGCCCCAGTTTAACGTATCTGACCTTACACTTTTGATATAGCACGAATATGAGAGAGTGTCAGAGATCTATAAGATACGCCCTCGTGTATGTTTTTCAGACGTTACACTTTTAATACAGCACGAATGTGAGAAAGTGTGTATGTTTTTCAGCAAATTAAATTTTGAATGAGATAGTTGTAAGCCTATATTTCGCATGTGACTTTAATGTAAGGCATATGGGAACCCCCGAAATAATAATAATGCAACATTATAACTGAAAAAAGAGGAATATTAGAAAGAAAGATCTATAAAATACGCCCACGTGTGTATGTTTTTCAGACGTACACTTTTCATATAGCACGAATGTGAGAGTGTATGTGTTTTTCAGCAGATTAGATCTCGAATGAGATAGTTGTTATTCATGTGACCTTAATTTAAGGCATATGGGAACCCCCAATAAAATAATAATTTAAAATTAACATTAACTGAATAAGGGGAATCTGAGAAAGAAAGAAAGAAAGAAAAAAAATCAACTTTCACCGCCGGGACTTATAGAATTCGAAACCGAGACTTTCCGTCAAAGTACAGTTCTGTAGGCCTATATAAGAGATAATGATGAATTGTTAACAATTTATCTGACAAATATTTCTTCATCAACACATGCCTATACATATAATATTCAGGACTTGAAAGGTAACTCCTATTTTGAATTCAATTTCACCATGATTCAACGGGATACGTTCGCTCTATGGAAACAAGAACCGTATAGGCTTACGTGAGTGTAGATACATTCAATGCTCTTAGCTACGGATCTGTATCAAATTGCCAAAATAATATTATAATGAAGATTTTTAAAATAGAGAAAACGAATGTAATGAATCGCTTGCATTAATTTTGTCGTTTTCTGACAAAAGTGCTCTCGGCAAATGAAACTTCTTATTGTAAATGTAGATTAAATGATAAACAGCAGCGCATTGCCTACATGATTTGAATTTACTTGTAGAATGGGTTACCGATATAGGCCTATGGGGTTTGATTTGAATTGATCGATACCAGACATGTATATGATTTCATTTTTTGTAAACTACTTCCGGCCAAAAATTGTTTCTGAATGATGCGAGTAAAGTGATTCAGCACTGACAATGTTCACCTCACTGCATGAGTTCATAAACAGATGTTATCAAAATAAGGACATTGTAATAGAGACTGCGTAGTCATCACATTTGTAAGGTAGTAACAAATAAGATTGTCGTATGGACGCCAGGTCTCGTATCAAATAGCGGATTGGACAAATATACCCCCTCAATGTGAGTGTATATAAGAGGGTGAATTGCACCATTCAGATATTCAAAGCGATCTCAGACGCAAAGCGGAGAGACAATTAGTCAAACAGAAGAGGTAAGAAATTTGTATTCACTTTGTTAGATGTATTTCAGTGTAGTATTATTTATGCTACAGATACACTGGAAGAGATACAATTTTATCATTCTTGTAAACTTTGTCTCAAATACAAAATAGGCTTTCACGTAAATAGGCCTAGTAAAATCTCAAAATATTAGAGCATAATTTTTACAAACTTACATTTTCGTAATTACCTGTATGAGGCATAGACCTCAAAGCGTCCAAAATGTTGATTTTTAATTTTGTAACTTGTAACATGAACTTTAACTTAGACCTTTAAAGATGTTTCTTTCTTACATCTTACAGTTAAGATTACATTTTTGATAAAGAATTTAATTTTAACAATTGTCACTATCATTCTAGTAAAAATAAACTATAATGTAGTATTTTCATAAAACTTTAGCGTATTTTATCAGTCAATTAATATAATTTGTATAGTGACGTACCGTACACACGCACGCGTAATGCGTGTTTATATGACTTAGCGTCCAAATCCGTCAATATTCAACAACGCATTGTGAGTCTGATGAGTAACAAAACTTGCATAATTTCTGTGACATGAATTGTACCGTACTCATTAATTGAAAATAATTATTTTCTTTTTATTAGACAACATAAGTTAACATAAGTTAACACTTGTTTAAGAAATAAAAGGGAACACTTAGAAAGCATTTTATGAAAAAAATTATATGGCTAATTTTCCACAAGAGAACGGTAATCTGACAGGATATCATTATTGGGCCTATAGAATATGTCTACTACTCCTCTGTGGTCTTGGAGAGAGGATGATAAATATGGCTAAATGTTTTGCTGAGCGTCTGCTAAGGATGTAATTAAAAGATTGAAAGATAAGGGAAATGCTGTGTCATTCCAATAATGTAATGATTCGTGTCAAAAATTCACAGAGCAGTTGATATAGGAATTGGAAGACCAATCTGTGTTTGTTTTCCCTCTCATCAATTCGTCAGAATTATTTTAATTGTGCAGTTGTTTCCTATTTATATTAGAGAAAAGAGAAATCAGACACTGAGAATTCAGACACTGAGAATTTACGCACAGAGTTGCGTGAGCTGGTGTATGTGTGTGGGTAGGTAGGTGTGTGTGTGGGGGGGGGGGGGGGGGCTGGGGGGGTGGTGCTGCTGTGTGTGTGTGTGTGATGTTTGTGTGTGTTTGAGTGCACGTCAGTTTTTTTTAAAAACTAGTATAGTAAGTATACTACTTGTACCTACAAATATTTCCATGCTAATATGACATGTGCTGCTAGCAATGGACGTTTCCGCTAAGCCCCGCCCCTTGGATATTGTTGCTAAGGTCCCACAAAAAGACACGCGCGTGTTCCTGGCCCTGTTTTGATTGGTCAGTTGTTAATTTTGATTAACAATCCGGAAAGGTCTATTTTGATTTATATTTCAACATTGGCCAGAATCATAGAATGACATAAATTGTATGTAGGCCTGCATACAGTACACTGTAAGTCATTAAAAGTCATTGTATGTACTATACCGCAAAATTCCACTAGTAGTTCATAAAGCCAAAAAAATGATACTGTAGATAAAATCATCTTGGGTTATTGACCAATGTAAATCTCCCGGCACGATCCTTATGAAATACTTGAGATATGTCATTGTGAGAAGAGGGTAGAAAAAAACACATAGGAAACATTTCAAGTATAATTGAGTCGAGTACCTGATGTTATCAATTGTCGCCATATCAAGCCAATGATTATTTCATAATTCTACACTCTATGTTGTATGGATATTGTAATTACACAGTGTTCATATGCATTTATTAGATACCTGTGTAATTCTGCAACAATACCTGTGGATTCAAATGCCTTTGATTACTGAACACCATTAGAAAAATATACATAAATATGGCAAATAATTTTGTATAATAATAACATAATGCTATAGGCTATGTATTACTTTATTAAGCATTATAATACATTGATAATATATAAACTACAGTATATGAAATATAAGACTCATAATAGACTCTAATTTGATTAGAATAGATGCTTAGCCAACTAATAGTATAGTAAAAATTTATGAATAAAAAGTCCTATTGGCCTATCATGTGTGTGAGGTAGGCCTATACTTACTTATGTTCCATAAAGCCTGGTTTCCATGAAATCGCTGCAGTGTCACTGCAGTGTTTTCACTGTAATCGTTACACCGTGTACTGTCTCTGATGCAACCGGCGGGAAGGCTCCCTATTCGGCCGACGAATCAGCGTCGCCGAAAACTGTTGGAGACAAAGCTTAACGTCCAACTTTCTGTCAACACCGCGTCTGTATACATGGGTAATGTTCTTGGAATGATCTTTCTATCGAGTCTTTAATGGGAAGTAATAATAGTGTAATAATTGATACTCTACTCCATTGTTTTATGAATGATATACCGATATCTAAGATTTCGGGTCTGCGTCTTTTACTTTTATCGTCACTGGCATTCTGGTATTCTTTTGATAGATGTTGATAGTCTTGCTAGATGACCAGCACATATCCATTTATTTCGTGCAAGTGTTTGTATTTACTTCACTCCTCCAAACGTCTCACTTATTGTCTTACATTGTATCAAGTAGTGTAATTTCCCTTTCAATTAATTGACTCTGCTGGTTACCTGGAATAGTCCAGGTTGCTGATCCATAGCATGTAATTTGGATGACTACATCTCCTCGGGATAAATTATTTGAAATATCTAAAGGCTATCAAACCTATATGCTTACTTGTTTCAGTGGGTCTTAAGCAAATCTTCAGGCGGAGGAACCCAGCGTCACCTATTATGAGTCGTTTTCAATGATGATTTTGTTGAGGGCAGGCTGCCGCCGATCAGAAAAAGATGCTGTGTTGCCAAGCTTTCAAAAAAGGCCGACAATCTATCTATGTTGATTCCATTCGGATAATCTGATTTTCTAATCGCATTTTTAAAACTTTTGTGAATATTGTAGGGATTATTGAATCATTTAGCCTGATATCTCTTATTATTTAAATAAGTCGGCTTCTTGGTTTTCTACGTTTTTTCCGTAGGCTTTCGTAATAATGATTGCATATTTATGCCGATTGTTCGGAAGACATGAAAGCCTTTTGTTCAATAGAGTAAAAAGCTTCCCTACTCAATATAGCCATTTTTATCGATATTATATTATACATTTTGATGAACACATTTACTTGGAAAATACTTTAACTTGGAAGGTAACATGTTCTTTTTGTGAAGAATATATACATATTTATATTGACGTAGAGTGATTTAAAAACGAATTTTCAGTGGTTTCAAATAGGCCTGCTATAAGATGGACTACGGTATTACAAAGGTAATTTAGGCCTATGTAGACTTAAACTGATTTAGTATAAGTATGATTTTAGTTTCAAAATCCGTGGCGAAATGCACACCGTTTTATAATGACTACAGGGTGACGCTTTCAGTTTCTAAATAAACGTGAAGTTTTCCAATCTCTAAACGAATTCGACGCGTTGAAACTGTCCGTCTGATTAAGCCATCATGCGTAATTATCTTGCCCGTGAATGCAATAGCCTCAGTGCAACTTATTAGCGCGGTAAATACCACATTGAGTTTATTTTGCAAAAAAATTACAAAATACAGCTTTTATATTGGATTTGCTTTGTTTGAATAAGTTCCGGCAAAAACGTTCCCATTCTTCAGTGTGGCCGTACATGCATTAATCAATAATAACATTCACAGAGTAGACAAGATTTGAATTTAATTAATCCTGAAATAAACCCAGTCCAAACACGGATAATATCACAGAATTCTCCTTAATAGAATACAGTGTACATTACAGTTATCATGCCTACGCATTTTCAACATTACGTTTATACTATGATTAACAGTGCTTCTATAGTGACGTTTTGACAGATGTTAACAGTACACCTGCCGAAACAAGCTGACACATCAGTTGAATAACGGAAACTACCGGTTAGGAACAAAAATGTAACAGTTAAATGATTGGACGGAAGATACACGTAGTAATAATTTGGATAACATGTAGTCTGAATGTCAGACTTCACTGATATCCGGTGGGTAATGTAAATTAAATGTCACATGATTTTTAGTTCCCTTCCTTATATCTGACTTTTAATAGTTTTATACCTGATGGCCGAAATGGAATTTGATTTTTTTGATAATCAAATGTGTTCCAAAGAAACCTTCGCAAAACTTTTTATTTTAACAAGGTACAGTAACCATTATAAACTGATCTTACGAAACATTTCTTTATTTAAAGATACATCATGTTAATAATAATCTTAATACTTAGAACCTAATTATAATTACTAATACTATTACAATTATTATTATCATTCTTTCTTGTATAATTTATTTATTGTCATTTGTTATGTGTGTTGTTTTTTGCCGTTCCCTCGATAGTGTTTTACCCTTGGTTATCATTGAATAGATTTTGCTGTAATTTACATTATCCTAAAATGTTTTAGTAAATAAATAAATCATACGATTAATTAATCCTCATTGATTAAGTTTACTTACAGGCTCAGGTTATAACGCATATAACTGTTTAACAACCAGAAATCATAGGAACATTTACATAGAAAGTACCTAACATCGTCGTTTGACCAAATAACCGCAACAAATACCAGGACTCTAACAGATGTATTTTAACATTAAAATACAAATTGCATCTTAAGAGAAATATTAGCGAATCACGGAAAGTCATATCAGTCTGTTTTGTGTACACTACGCTGTGCTGTTTAACCTACTTTATCAAACAAATGTACCATGTATGTTTGATAGGTCTATGCTTTATTAGAGCAACTGTTTGTAATTTTAACAAGTACAACTGATGCAACTTAAAAGTCAGAAGCATTTCCTTTCCAAGTATGCAATTATACCACGCCATTCATTTGCACGAAATACAGTATTGTGATTCCCTTCGAGGATAAGTAATCAAATGCCTTTTGAAATACAGTATTACCGAGCGCGGCAAACATTTACCTGCTTATCGACAGCGTTAAAAACAGTCGG